ACAAATAAATCTCTTAACAGGAACAAACAAAATGTTTTGAAAGCCATCATTTAAGAAAAATGGGACTTTTAGTTCCAGGACAGCCTCCAAAGCCACCAAGAAACCCTGTCTCTGGGGAAAAAAAATGGGACTTTAGAGCTAGAAAGATGTTTCAGCAGTTAAGAGTCTTTGGAACATTTATTGTTCTTTCAAGGGACCCGGGTTTCACATCCAGGACCCACATGTCAACTCACAACTATTCGTAATTCCAGTTCTAGGGGCTCCCATGCCCTCCCAGCACTAGGCATGCTAGATCACACATATGCATGCAAGGCAAACACTTATGTACATAAAAATAAATAATTCTAAAAACACTTTTTAAAACTTTAAAATCAGACTGAGTGGTGGTAGCACATGCCTTTAGTCCCGTTACTCCTGAGGCAGAGGCAGGTGGATCTCTGTGAATTCCAGGCCAGCCTGGTCTACTGAGCAAGTTCCAGGACAGCCCCTCCAACACTACAGAGAAACGATGTCAAAAAAACAAAAAACAAAAAACAGACCGAATGGAAGCTGAGGTAGGATTGCCGTGGGTTAGAAGCCAGCCTAAGCTACAGGAAGACCCTGTCTCACAAACAGAAACACAGGGATGAGGATGCAGCTGGACGAGTGAGCGCTTGCTTAGCATGCAGGAAGCTTTAGATTGGCTCTAACCACTCCATAAACCTGGTGTTCGCGCTTGTAACCTGAACACTTGGGAGGGAAAGCCAGGAGATGAGATGTTCAAGACCTTCAACTACATAGTGACTTTGGGGCCAGCCTGGGCTACATGAGAATTTGACTCAAGAAGAAAATAAAACAGGCTGAAGAGATAGCTCAGTGGAGAAAACTACTGTTGCTGCAGAGGACCTGGGTTTGGTTCCCAGCACCTACATGGTTGCCCATAACCGTCTGTAACTCCGGCTCTAGGGGAATTCAACGCCCTCTCCTGGCCTTTGCACCCCCAATTAAATACACACACCCCACAAATCAAACTGGACAAGGAAATGCCTATTTAAACAACAAAATGGAGCTAGGTGTAGTGGATAATGCCTTTAGTCCCAACACTAGGGAAGTGAGGCAGGTGGATTCCTGTGAGTTCCAGTCCGGTCAGGACTATATAGTGGGACCCTGTCTCAAAATGAAGAGAAAACAGCCAGGGCAGACCAAGGGTGACCATTTTTCAAGGGGGAGCAGGAATGAGTGTCAGACACAGTGGACAAGGGGAGGCTTGTTGCAGTGGGAAAGGGGGTGTGATCGGCTTCTCTGAGACCACAACTCCTAGACCTTCTTCTCTAAGCCTCCCAGAGGCTTTGGGTAGACAGAACACCCCGTGGACCTGAGCAGCAGGTGGAGTAGCAAGTAGAAACAGGCCAGCAAGACTTGAAGGTGTATGTTCCCACGGGGTGAGGGCATCAGATAATGGGAAGGTGGCCAGTGGGGTAGCCCTGGCTGTACTGGAACTCTCTCTGTAGACCAAGCTGCCCTCGAACTCACTCAGAGGCCTGCCTCTGCCTCCCGAGTGCTGGGATTCAAGATGTGCACCACCACTGCCCAGCATTTTTCATCCTTCAAGATGGGGAGACCTAGCGCAAGGCCAGCAACATCCAAGAAGTTCATCAGAAGCTCTGAGGAATGTCGCCCACTCGGCTTCACTCTACCCTACAACTTACTATCCAAGTGGGCCACCGTGCGACAGAGAGCTGGCCTTTCCCACCTCTCAGCCCTCCTCTCTTTTGGATTATCTAAAGGCAACTTAGACCGGGTCTGGCCTACACCCCGTGGTGGGACAGAGTTTTTTCACAAAACACTGAAAAATGTATGTGCATCCCTCTTGAAAGAGCCAAAGCTGGGTGTGGGCGGGGCCTGGGAAACGCAGTCCCAGGGGTGGGAACATTATCCTGCCACTGGGTAAAGGCTGGGATCGTCCTGGGAAAGCTCTGCTACCCTAATGGGCAGTAATGGCCCTGCACGCCATCTACCAGGTCTCGCTAGGGCTTTCTCCCTCAGACTACACGGCGCCTTCTCTTTAGAGTCCCAAATTGGAGCAGGCGGGATCCGCGTAACGAAGGGAGAAAAAAAGCAGAAATCCAGAGAAAATGAGACAAGGCAGGAAGAGAAAGACTGGAAAGGAAGGACAGGAAACTGGCCACCTTCAAGGATTCCGAGACCTCGCCCCGCCCCCTTCCCGCCTGGGTCTAGCTCCCTTCCCTGCCTGTGGCCCGCCAACAGCAGTTGCGTCGCGCCACCTGGCGGAAGAAAGTGTGATCGCACCATGGGGGGAGGGAAACCGGGGTAGCGAGTGAGGTAACAAGAAAGTCCTCTTATTTAGACCTCAGTTCCCTGGTTTAGTTCAATTTCGGTTCTGCGGAATTGGAATTTGGTTAAGCCCCTGGGACTGGTTACACCACCCAAGCATAGGAACCTGAGCCTTGGGGAATAATAGGCAGTGACGCCAGATGTCTAATAGGCCTCAGCTAGCTTTGCCTTCACCCTGGACCTGGCACCTACTTCTCACGAAAGGGACCGCTCTAGGCTACGTAAGCAAGTGGCCCAGCCCTTGTGACCAAACATTTGCTAACTGCTTGGCATTAGGCACCAGCACTGACAAGCACTGGGTAAACATTGCTCAGACCCAAGGAAACAGAGGTTTGTGTACCTTGGCCTACGCATGGGGGGGGGCAGAGCTTGAGAAGCCCCCAAAGAAGCCTGAAGCCCTCAAGAGTCTTTTGTAGTGTACACCCTAGGCTACCCAGGCTGCTCTGGACTCTGCGCTCATGAATCTTGCAAGCTTCAGTAGGAGGTAGGGGCACAGGGAACAAATACAGCTGAGTATAGGGCATGAGGGCATTAAGCTTATCCCATGGGCAGTGGGGAGCCCGTGGAGTTCTGTACCTCTGCGGATGACATGGTCAGGTCACTGGTGTTTTGGAAGGTTAAATTTGTTGAGGATCACAGTCAAAACTCTGGGTCAGATGTGATGGTGCACACCTTTAGTCCCAGCATTCAGGAGGCAGGCAGATCTCTGTAAGTTCGAGGCCAGCCTGGTCTACATAGTGAGTTCCAGGACAGCTAGGGCTATGTAGAAAAACCCTGTCCCCCCCCCAAAAAATAAGAGAGAGTTGTTCTACTTGAGGAGTCAGGAATGTCCCATTCTCCTGTACCAGAGGAAGGGCTATGTGACACCAAGGTAAATAAATTTAGGGCTCCACAAGAATTAGGATAAAGTAGCACTCCCTGACCAGCCAAAAGGTAGTTGCTGCCAAACCTGATGTCCTGAGTTTGATCCCTGGGACTTACATGGTGTCAAAAGAGAACCAGCTCCTACAAGTTGTCCTCTGGCAGCTACACGTGTGCCTTGGAAGATGTACAGTCACACAAATAGATGAATAAGTAGATAAAATAGTTAAAAATTCAAAGAGCTGGGGCTGGAGAGATGGCTCAGAGGTTAAGAGCGCTGCTTGCTCTTCCAGAGGTCATGAGTTCAATTCCCAGCAACCACATGGTGGCTCACAACCATCTATAGTGAGATCTGGTGCCCTCTTCTGGCGACCTGACATATGTGCAGGCAGAACACTGTGAACATAATAAATTTAAAAAAAAATTCAAAGAGCTGGTGATATAGCTTAGTGGGTGCCAAGTCTGAAGACCTAAATTTGGTCGCTGGGACCCACATGGTAGGATAAAATCAGTTCTAGTATGTTGTCTTCTGACCTTCAGGGCTGTGTGCCCACACACAAGAAAGAAACACAAGAACAGAAATAAATAAAGTGCAATTTAAAATTTTAGGGGCCAGAGAGATGGCTCAGGAGTTAAGTTTCAGAGGACCCGAGATCAATCCCCAGCCCCCACCCACACTGGGTGTCTCACACCACCTGCTTCTCTAGTTCCCTTTCTGGCCTCCAAGAACCCCCACAGGCATGTGGTGAGCTTGCATACATGCAGGCAAAACACTCATGCACATCATTTTTTAACTTTTGAGGGCGGGGAGTGCTGACATCTAGGGGCCAAGTTGGGAAGAGGCTATAAGCTGTAGGTCAGAAGACTGGCCAGAGCGGGCAGCAGGCAGGATCTACCTGCTCTTAGTCTTTGCTAAGTGCACCAAGAGAGAGTTCTAACAGCAGATGACAGGGAGGTTTGGGGTCACACAGGTGATCCCCGCATTCAGATCTGAGAAGAGGCAGCAAAGGGTGAAGGGTCCCAGATGTGTGAAGCTGAAGGGAGCACAAAGATGTGTCTGTCTGTCTGTCCTGCATGCTTTGTTCCAAGCTAGCCTGGAAATTACTATGTAACTCAGGCTGATCTCAAACTCAGCAATCCTCTTGCCTCAGTCGGTCTAGTGCTAGTATCACAGGCCTGTGCCCCAGTGCACAGCTTGACAAAGTGTATTTTGTGTGGGGCCAGAGCAAATGGCTGGAAATGCAGAGGAGAGGTCAGGCGTGAGGGCTGAGGGGCTTCCTCCCTAAAGTGGAAGCCTTCTGCTTACCCTGATTCAGATGCTGAGGGGACGGAAGGGGTTCGAGAAAATTCAGGCTTAAAATTAATACCAGGAAGTGAGCAAAAGTCCTGGTGGGTTGCCTGGGCTAGGGGCAAAGCTCACAGTGTAGAGAAGTCTGGACAGAGGGCGGAGTGAGGTCCACCTGGAGACCCCACTCGTGAGGTTTCAGTGGCCAGGCAGGACCCCCGGAAGTGTATGCCCTGATTCCTGTAGGGGTCTGTAGGATGGATCGCTATATTCTGGACCCTGAACCGATGTCTACATCGATAAACAGGGAACGGATCTCTACGGAGGAAGCAACCCTAGGTCCGGAAGCATCTCAGCCTTGCTCCCCACCCCACCCCCGACTGTGCCCCTAAGGACAGATTGATGAGCTGGTCTGGTCAGAGAGGGGGTTCTTGACATTTGCCAGGGCGTGGGCGCGCAGCTATGTACTCCCTGAAGCTAGACGCAAAGTACACAACGGAGAAAAAGGGTCACACGCGGGGGCGCAAGAATCAGGTTGGTTTTATTGACCAGACCACGAGGACTGGCTGAAGCTGTGCTCCCTGGAAACAGTCGTGACGGCTTCTGCCTAGGTCAGGCACGGAGGCGCTGTAAGTTCTTGGGACGGTCCTGGAGTCTGTCAGGGTCGGCATTGAGGATGTGCTGCAGAAACCATGGCTGGGCGCGAAGCGTCTCTCCCAAAGCTCTAGAAAGAACAGAGTAGGACTCCGGAGGCACTGGAAACGCGCTCCATTCGGTCCTCAGGATGCTAGGGAAGGGACTCTGGGAAATTCTCCTAACATAATGGGAGACAAAATGGGTAGGGAGGGTGGGAGTGTGGTGGCCACACCTGTAAAATCAGCACCCAGGAGGATGGAGAAGAATAATCCCTAACAAAACAAAACAACAAACAAGCAAGGGCCGGAACTACGGCTCAATCGGCAGTGTGCTTGCTTAGGTACTGGGTTCCATTCTAGTACCACGTAAACTGGGTGTGGTGGTGCACACCTGTAATCCTACCATTTGGTAGGTAAGAGAAGGATCAGGAGTTCAGCCTGAGTTACAAGGCAAAAGCAAAACAAAACAAAAAACACAAAACACCAGTACACAGGAGCTGTTGGTCATAGACCCCTGGAAACTCCCTTGGCAGCTGCCATCCCCTGCCCCCTCCTTCTCCCACTTACCTAGCGGACTCCGCTGAGATCCAGGATCGCAGGCTCAGCGACTGTTCCGGTTGGCGGGCTCGCTGCAGGTCCCGCGGACTCTGGGACTCGTAGACGGGAAGCCCAGCCCGCCAGCTCCGGCGTCTTGCCTCCCACAGCTCCTGCACCGGCGAAGGAAGCAGGTGAAGAGCGCTGCCGGTGACCGGCCCCGGGACCAGAGTGTCCCGGGAGAGCGGGCCAACGGCCCCGCCCAGGGCACGGCGCCACAGGTAGGGCGAGCGGCGCAGCCCCATGAGCAGACCCGAGGCGCGTCCCACGGTGTGATAGCGGGGACTCGCCACGTGCTTGTACCAGGCCCCGGAGGGCAGTGGCAGCAGGAGCACAAGCAGCAGCAGCCGCAGCAGGGGCCGATTCACAGGAACCCCCGGCCCGGGGCCCCGCACTTCTCCGCTCGGCGCCAGCGCGCTCACGTCTATGGCCCCTTGGCGGGCTAGGCCAAGAACAGGGTTTATGCCTGCAGTGGAATTAGGACGTCGGAGGTCAGGAGGCTGGAGGAGACTAGTCAGTCCTATGACTATTGTCTCTCAGTGGCCACGCCCCGGCTCGCCCCCGCGGCACCTGCCGCGCTCACCCAAGGGAGAGGAGGATGGAGGGAGGGAGGGAGAAAAGGGAACCCAGGCAACCAGAAGCATCTCACTGAGTAGGTCGCCAGCTAGATTGCTCTTGAGGCTCTAGCGGGTATATACCTGCTTGCTCTTCCCTCAACCCCAGGAAGGGAAATGTTAGGGAGGGAGTCCCGGTGCCATGAACTCAGAACACAAGGATGGGCCAGTGGCAAAGGGATGTTCCCTTGATGGGAGTTGCTACTGGTAGAGATCTCACTGAGAGGAGACTGGCAGAGTTCTGGGAGCCTGGGGCCACCCTTCCCTGAGGGCTGTCTCACTTCCTGCCTATTAGAGCTCTTAAATTCCCACACTAACCCATTCTCCACTCCAGGTGGATGCCTGGAAACCTTGAGTTTAGAGCCAAGGCATTGGAACAGTTCTCTAATCCCAGCTTGGGTCCTGAGTTCAAGGTCAGTTTGGACTACCTAGTCAGCCTGAGCTATGAAACCCTGTCTCTAGGAAGAGGAAGGAAATACAAGAGGGAGAGAGGAGGGGGGAGAAGGAAGGCAGGTAGGCAGACCCGCAGATAGTTTGACCATATGAAGCCATCCCTGTGGTTTCCCAAGACCTAGAAGATTAAGAGGCAGTCCCTCCCAGAGCCCTCAGCTTCAGCAGGTTTGACCCGGCCCTACCAAACTCCAGAGCTCCTCTGTGATGCTGCCTCTTCACAAGACCTCTTCCCCAGAGAAACTCAACTCCGGGGGTGGGGGCGTCACGCCCATAGCCTGTCATTTGTTCATCTATGCACAAAAGCACTCTTCCCTTATGTTTCTCCCCAGCAAACTCCCATAACTCCTTCAGGACGCCACTGAAATGACTTTGGTGGAGAAATCCCCAACTTGTTCCTCCAGCGCCCCCCCCCAAGAGGGGAGGGCCTAATGTAGTCTTTCCTGACCATCCATATCCATCCTTCATAATAGTCAGAACTCTCCTACACTCAACAAACAAGCCATTCCTGGTACAGCACATTCAGATACTCAACACCGGGGATTTTGCTGATATCATCTTTTTTATTTTTCAATATGTTTTATTTATGTATATGAATATATTGCCACCATGTGCACAGCTGATACCTGTGGAGTTTAGAAGAGGATATTGGATCTAGAATTGGAACTACACATGGTTGTGAGCTACTATGTGGCATCTAGGACACAGACCTGGGTCCTCTGCAGGGACAACAAGTGCTTTTAGCCGAAGAGCCATCTCTCCAGGCCCCTTGTCCTTTTTAAAAGAAGATTTATTTTTGGGTCTGGAGAGATAGCTCATCAGTGAGGACATGACATTGGTTCCTAGCACCCACATCAAGTAGCTCACGGTTATCTATAACTCTGTCTAGCTCCAGAGGTCTGAGACTCTGACCTCCAGTGGGCAACTGCACTTGCTGGCACATACCCATATGCAGACACACACACCTACATATAATTAAAATACTAAAATGCACCTTTACATTTTATTTTATTTTTATGTACTTTCAAAGTGTGTGTGTACTCAAGAGCAGTTGCCACAGGAGTTGGATAGCCCTGGAGGGAGATGGGCGTAGTAACTAGAAATATCACCCATTAAAAACAGCCCTCCAAAACAATACAGAGAAACCCTGTCTCGTAAAAACCAAAAAAAAAAAAACAAAAACCAAACATAGCCATCCAAAACAACACAGAGAAACCCTGTCTCGTAAAAACCAAAAAAAACAAAAAACAAAAAACAAAAAACAAACAAAAAAAAAAAAAACAGAGCCATCACTCAGACGTGGTGATATGTGCCTAAGGAGGCTGAGGCAGGGGGGTTACCATGACTTTGAAGCCAATCTGAGTTCTCAACCACTGAGCCATCTCTCCAGCCCCCTGGTTTTGGTTTCTTGAGAGGTTCTCATGTAGCCAAGGTGTGCTACCCAGCTTAGAATGACTTTGAACTCCTGATCCTCTTGGATTACAGTCACATGCCACCATTCCCAGCTTGAAATATCATATTTTGATCCTCAAACAAGAGGAATGGAGAGATGGTTCAGCAGTTAGAGCACTGGCTGCTCTCCCAGAGGACCTGGGTTGGTTCTCAGCTCCTACATAGTGGCCCACAACCATCTAGGTCCTCTTCTGGCCCCTTCAGGCACAGGATGAATGTACGACAGAGACATACATGCGGGACAAACACCCATACTTACAAAATAATAAAAAATTTAAAGACTGAGTTTTTACAAAAGGAGTGGAGGGAAAGAGGAGTCACCTACTTCCGAGGTGGAAGAGCCCCAGGGGTTCTAGCAGGTCCTCTAGGTCTCTCTCACTTGGAGAACCTGACTCTGGGTCTGGGTAGTTGGGCTCAAATCTGCCTCGGACTCAGATGCTGATGAGGGTGGAGAGAGTAAGTGCCACAATCTCCCCTGCCTCAGTTTCCTTCTTTTAAATGAGGGAATGGTTGCCAGGCAGTGTGGCACACATCTTTGATCCCAGCACTTGGGAGGCAGAGACAGATGGATCTCTGTGAGTTCAAGGCCAGCCTGGTCTACAGAGCAAGTTCCAGGGCAGGCTCCAAAGCTACAGAGAAACCCTATCTCAAAAAACAAAACAAACAAACAAAAAGAGCATTGGCTGCTCTCCCAGAGGTCCTGAGTTCAATTCCCACCAAACCATATTGCTCACAGAGAAACCCTGTCTGGAAAAACCAAAAAAAAAAAAAAAGAGAGATCCGGTGTCCTCTTCTGGTGTCCTTTTCTGGCCTGCAGGCATACATGCAGGCAGAATACTGTATACATAATAAATAAATCTTTAAAAGAAAAAGAAACAAAAATGTAAAAGGAGGGAGTGGTCTTTTATTTATAAGCAAATAATGCCAGGTGTGAACAGTACCTGCCTGCCACCCAAGCACTTGGGAAGCGGGGGCAAGGAAGATGGTGAGTTGATGGTGAGTTCCAGGCCTGCCTGTGTTACATAGTGACGACATATTCGAGACTAGCCAGTTTCAGGCTAGCAAGACCTTGTACCTAACAAACAAACAAATAAAAAAATACACACACATCTGCAAGGTGTGGGCCTTGGAACTGTATCTGACACACAGTAAGCAGTCAGTACTCCAGCACTCGTCGGGGAGATCTATTGCTGCTTCAACAGCTCTAGGCCTGTCAGAGCGAACATTTCCATGGGGCCGGCAGAGGATGTAGAGGGAGCAGGCTGTTGGGCATGAGGACCTTTGAGACCAGACAAGCGTCAGTGAAAGCCACCCCCATTAACCACTGTGTTCCTAAGGGAACCCTAGTCCTGGAGAGAGCAGCCTGGAGAGTGGTGTGGGCGGGCAGCTAGGCACGACACAGGCTACTGTCAAGCCACTAGGTCCCCAGGCGCTGCTGTTCACTCCAAATCAGACCCCAGGGAATAGCAATGGAGCAGGAAATGTGTGGGGCGCCCTCTGGAGGTACCCTGGGAAATGCAAATCTATGTGACCATATTAATTGTTTAGTCCATCCTGGGATTGGCACCTAGGAAAGCTTGATGGAACAGGCAGTAACCCCAAGAACTAGGCAGGCTGTGGTAGGAGGATGGAAAGTCGTCAGCCAGTGTGGCTTACCTGAAGATCAGAGTGCCAAGCTAGCCAAACTAGTTAGCTATAGAGACTAGGCCGTGATGGTACACACCTTTAATCCCAGCACTTGGGCTCACACAAAGGTAATCTCAGCACTTCGGAACCCACGCCTTTAATTCCAGCACTGGAGAGGACTATAAGGCTGGAGGAGACAGGAGCTCAGTGCCGTCTGAGGTTTGGTGGAGGCAGACGAAGTCTGGAGATGCAGTCTGAGGACAGGCTCACCCTTCCGGTCGGTAGAGATGAGAACTCTCTAGTGGCTGCCGCTTTGCTTCTCGGATCCTTAACCCTAATATATCTGTTGCTGAGTTTTTAGTTTAGTTTTGTTTTTTTTTCGAGGCAGGGTTTCTCTGTGGCTTTGGAGGCTGTCCTGGAACTAGATCTTGTAGACCAGACTGGTCTCGAACTCACTGAGATCCACCTGCCTCTGCCTCCCAAGTGCTGGGATTAAAGGCATGTGCCACCAACGCCCAGCCCGGCTGAGGGTTTTTTTGTTTTGTTTTGTTTTTTTTTTGATTTTCCGAGACAGGGTTTCTCTTTGGCTTTGGAGGCTGTCCTGGAACTCACTTGGTAGTCCAGGCTGGTCTCCAACTCACAGAGATCTGCCTGCCTCTGCCTCCCGAGTGCTGGGATTAAAGGCGTGCGCCACCAACACCCGGCCTGAGTTTTATTATTAAGAAAAATTACAATTTGTGCTACAGGTCTGGAGAGATGGCTCATTAGTTAAGAGCACTTGTTGATCTTGCACAGGACCCAGGGTTGGTTCCCAGCATCTGCATGGCAGTTTACAACTATTTGTAACTTTACTTCCAAGAAATACAGCACCCTGTTCTAGCCTCCTTGGGCACCAGATATGCCTGTGGTACGCACATATACATGCAGTCGAACATTCAGGCTGATCTCAGAGAGTTTGAGGCCAGCTTGGTCTACAGATGAAGTTCTGGGACAGACAGGGCTGCACAGAGGAACCCTGTCATGAAAAACAAAGAAACAAAAGAGTGGGCGTGGGGCAGGAACTGAATATATATTTCTGCGACAGAGCACTTCCTTAGCAAGTGTGAGTCCCCAGGCTCAATTCCAAAGAAAGATGGATCCAGAGAGATGACTCAGCAGGCAACGGGATTGCCGCAAGACTATTGACTCCAGCTCAATTCCCGAGGCCCACATGGTGGAAAGAGGGTGCCAACTCCTGCTGTCCTCTGACCTCCATGCTTGTGTCATGGCACACATGCAAGCGTGCACCCACCCACAGAGATAAACAGATATAACAAAAAAAAAAGCCTGGTCGTGGTGGTGCACAATTTTAATTCCAGGACTCAGGAGGCAGAGGCAGGATAGAGAAACCCTGCCTCCAAAAACAAAACAAAACAAAACAAAACAAAACAAAATTATTTGTTGTATGTATATGGGTGTTTCATCTGCATGTACGTCATGTGCATGCCAGGTGCCTAAGGAGACCAGAAGAGGGCGTCAGATCCCCTTAAATTGGAGTTGCAAACGATTATGAGCTACTGGACATGGGTGCTGAAACCAAACTCAGATCCTCTGGAAGAGCTGCAATGCTCTTAAATGCTGAGCCATCTCTAGTCCTCATGCAAGATACTATTTACATTTCCTTTCTCCTTGAAAGCTACAATATTTTTCTGTGTTTTTATACCCTAATTTTGATATTTTCCTAAATATTCCAGTAGCTGATAAACTTCCCTGTAGTAACCTTTCCCAGTCTCCAAGCATCTGAAGCAACCCATTATAGCAGCCCCACTCAAGAGACTCGGACTTTTTCCTCAGAGAGCTTGTAGCTGCTGGCCCTAGTCTGGTCCTTCACTCATAAAGCCTTCCCAGTGCCTGTGGCTTCACCTCAGGTGGAATCCTATTGTCTGAATGCTGGGTCTTCCAAGGTGTGTGTCCTAATTTTGGAGAAACAAATCCTGCAGGATCTCAGGGAATTCTAGTTCCCAGTGTTCTAGGTTCATAAGTCCACTGTTATTTTTATTTTTCCTTGGTGGTTTGAGATTTGAATTCATTGTCATTGTCATGGTAGGCAGGCAGGCATTTTGCAACAAGCTACACTCCCAACTCTGTCATTTTGATTATTTAAATTTTTCACTGCCTGGGGACAGCCTTCAGTATTGCAGAGCTCAAGGGAATCCAAGGAGTAGGGGTACTAAGACTTTTTTATCTGAGGGAGTAAGGGAAAGGACACTCACACACTCTTTGGATGGTTTCCTTCTTTATTCTTCTGTATTCTCTGTGTTCTATATTCTGTTTTCTTTTTTGTTGTTTTGGTTTTTCGAGACAGGGTTTCTCTGTATTATTTTGGAGGCTGTCCTGGAACTCGCTCTGTAGACCAGGCTGTCATTGAACTCACAGAGATCCGCATCCTGGGATTAAAGGTGTGCACCACCAATGCCCGGCACCACTTTCTTCTTTTCTTTTCTTTTCTTTTCTTTTCTTTTTTTTTTTTTTTTTGGTGTTTCAAGGCAGGGTTTCTCTGTGACTTTGGAGGCTGTCCTGGACTGGCTTTTATAGTTTTATAGACCAGGCTGGTCTCAAACTCACAGAAATCCGCCTGCCTCTGCCTCCTCCGGAGTGCTGGGATTAAAGGTGTGCACCACCACCGCCCGGCTTTCTTTCTTTTTTAATATTTTCATCTTATTCTATTTATTTATTTGGTTTTTCAAGGCAGGGTTTCTCTGTATTGTTTTGTTTTGGAGGCTGTCCTGGAACTTGATTTGTAGACCAGCCTGGCCTTGAACTCACAGAGATCATCTTGCCTCTGTCTCCTGAGTGGTGGGATTAAAGACAGGAAAGAGGGCTAGGCATGATAGCACACACCTTTAATCCCAGCATTCAGACAACAGAGACAGGCAAATTTCTGTGAGTTTTAGGCCACTATATATAGGGAGTTCCAGAACAGCCAGGGCCACATAGGGAGACCCTGTCTTAAAAAGGAGAGGGGTTGGGTGAGGACAACTGTAGAGTAGGCTCAGTGGTTAAGAGGATTTGTTGTGCTTTTCCCAGTGACCTCTCAGGAAGACTGAGGCAGACAGGGGTGAGGCTCTGGTGGCCAAGAAACATGGCTGAAACAGAAGTTGGGAAGTCTGGATTCGTGTATCCAGATGCCCTCAGCCCTTCTCCGTCCAAGACAAAGCAGCCAACAGACCAGAAGGAAGAAGAAAGTAGGGGTAACCCCGGCAGGATCTCTGAGGCCTCTCCAGGGAGAGAAGAAAACAGTGGGCAGGGTCGAGAGTTGAAGGATCCCAGGCAGAAGGGACCTAGGCAAAGCTCGGGTGACTCCTCCTGCAGACACCACCACCACCGCGCAAGTGGCCACCTTGAAGAGAAGAGCAGGGCGAGCCCACCTTCTGCCAGAGAGAGAGGAAGGCACAAGCCCGAGTCTACCCCAGCAAAACAACACTGGGTAAGAGATTCCCATTCCCAGCACACAGAACCGCGTGTCAGGGACAGAAGGCCCCTCCCAAGGTCTCCTGTGAGGCCCATCAAGCGTAGAAGGTCTGGAGACACCAGCGCAGCTCCAAGCAACTCTCCCAAGAGGCACAGACAACGTTCTCCAGAATCCCACTGGTCCAGGGCGCTCTCACCGCTGTCCAGAGTCATGGCCCGCACGCGTGCCATGGAGGTTGCCCTGGAAGAACTGCGGGCCCCCGGAGGGGCCTTCCTGCATGAGCCCTCAAGCAGCAGGGAGCCCAGGGTCTCACAGCGCGCCTGGCTCTCTTGGCAGCTGTCGCACACCGGGGCCACGCTGCACTGGGCGCTGCACACAGTCAATGCCATCTTGGTGGACCAGGCCAAGCTGCTCAGATATCCATGGCCTTAGGCCAGTCGTGCAGAGCAGAGCAGAGACCTGTATGTCTTGAGCCCACCTGAACACCCGAGAGACTCCACCTCAGAGCCTTGAGTCTGGACATGACCTGACTCTGTCCGATCTCCTGGAAAGACTCACTGGGGACTTGGACTATGCAAAGAGAGTCTTCACTGATGTCGGCTACCTTTCTACCTGCATGTGCTTTCGGGACACTTTGGAAAAGCACCGACTCTTAGAATGAAATCGGCAAATGGAGCTTGGGGACATCCTACATACAGGGTGGTCGGGTGGGAGTCAAACTTGCTTTCTTTCTACTGGGCACTTTAGACACTGCCTGAAACTCAGACTGTGCATCAGATTAGCAAACTGTACAGTCAACTAACTGATCTGTGTTTTCTTGGTTATTGATGAAATTCGGGCCAACACCCACACACACTGCACTAGATTTTTCTTTATGAGAGAGTCAATTCTTGTAGTATTTTAGATCTGTGGCGTGTTAAGTCTAGTCATTCGTTAAAGCTTTATGTTGTTGCTATTTTGAAGATGCAGAAACATTTCTATTTTGTAATGATTCATCACCCGTCGGTTTTTCACTTTTTTTTTTTTTTTTTTTTTTTTTTGGTTTTCGAGACAGGGTTTCTCTGTGTTGTTTTGGAGGCTGTCCTGGAACTCGCTCTGTAGACCAGGCTGGCCTCGAACTCACAGAGATCCACCTGCCTCTGCCTCCTGAGTGCTGGGATTAAAGGCGTGCGCCACCAACGCCCGGCTTTTCACTGTATCAAGATTTCATTGATCTATATAGAATGCTTGAAGTGTACATTCATCACTCAATAAAAGTATTTATGGTTGTTAAAAAAAAGATTTGTTGCTCTGTTTTTTTTTTTTTTTTTTTTTTTTTTGGTTTTTCGAAACAGGGTTTCTCTGTATTGTCTTGGAGGCTGTCCTGGGACTCATTTGGTAGACCAGGTTGGCCTCGAGCTCACAGAGATCTGCCTGCCTTTGCCTCCCAAGTGCTGAGATTAAAGGTGTGAGCTGCCATGTTGGTGCAGGGAATTGAACCTGAGTCCTCTGGAAGAGCAGTCAGTGCTCTTAACCACTGAGCCTTCTCTCCACCATCCAGATTTTTTTTTCGAGACAGGGTTTCTCGGCGTAGCCTTGGTTGTCCTCGAACTCACTTTGTAAACTAGACTGTCCTGAAACTCACAGAGATCTGCCTGCCTCTGCCTCCAGAGTACTGGGATTAAAGGTGTGTGCTGCCACAGCCAGGCTTCATTTCAAAAGATTTTAACAGTGCTTAACATCTGTCCAGTTGCCCGAGGAGAGGTAAATTCCCTCATCTGTCTGAAGAGGGCAATTGTACTTAGTCCAGTCCACTTTACTTAATTGGTATGGTGACCCCAGTTTCACAAATGAGGAAGTTACAGGCTTCAGAGGACCAAGCAAGCTCACACGCACATAAGTACCAGAGACGTGAAGCCTAACGTTCACCACTATCCATTCAAGTACCTCTCGGTGCTTCCCTGTTCTAGGTACTATGCCAGGCTGGGTGTGTCCTACACCAAAAGAACAAGAGGTCCCTTCCCTAGCGGGACTGGGTGGGAATGCCTGGATGACAGCTTTCCTGGTAAGGATCTGCAGTTTGTTAGAGCGCCGTCAGAGGCTTATGTTCCAGGCTATACAGAAAAGTTCCTGAAAAGGTTGTTGGATCTAGTCATGACTAGCTTAATGACTTATATGTGTATTTTGTGATGGGAATGGAACCCAGAACCTCACGCCAGTTAAATTGGCATTTCAGATATGAATACAATAATTCAAGAATGGCCCATCGGTGCTAGTGTGATACTTAGCCTAACACTGTTCGTGGTTATCAAAAATACTGGATGCCCTGTGCTTCCTCCGGCGTCTCTAGAACTAGGGCCGGGGAAAGGAGAAGAGAGCCCGCATTGAATGACTAGGAAGATTTTAGGAGTTTCAGGATAGAATGCCGGGAACAAACCCCGGCTTTAGACCACATCAGGCCCCGGAGGAAGTCGCAATGCGCACTTCCGCCAGGCGGGGCGGTTGCCTGGATGGGCAGTGACGTCGACGGAAGGGGCGGGTCTGCCGGGAGCCAGGCCGCGCTGTGCCGCGCTGTGCCGCGCCGGCCGGGAGGGGGCCGGAGCCCGGCCATGGCGGCGGCGGCGGCGGGCGCCGAGGGGCGGCGCGCGGCTCTGGAGGCAGTGGCAGCGCCCGAGCGGGGCGGCGGGAGCTGCGTGCTGTGTTGCGGCGATCTGGAGGCTACGGCGCTGGGCCGCTGCGATCACCCGGTGTGCTACCGGTGCTCTACCAAGATGCGGGTGCTGTGCGAGCAGCGCTACTGCGCCGTGTGTCGCGAGGAGCTGCGCCAGGTGCGACAGCGGGGCGCGCGACGGGGAGCGGGGAGGGCGGGCTCCTCATGGCTTTGCCTGCTCGGTGTCCGGCCGCGGCCTGGCCGCGCCCGCTCCCGTCGGAGGCCCGGTGGTCCGTCCCGGCAGCATGCGATTACCGGGCCTCCTGGGACTGGGAAGCCAGAGGCAGCTGGGCCGGGGAAGGAGGAGCGATGCCTGTGGGAACTCTTAAGTTTGGATATTTTCCCCTGTGACCCTCCGCAGAAAGGGCAGGGTCAGGTCAAGAGCCCTCTTGTCTGCGAGTGTTCAGTTTTTTGAGATCGTCACTGAGGTGGAGGAGACAGCCAGGGGGAATCTCCAGGGACTGTCTGTCTACCATAGGAGCTGACTGCTCTGTAAAAGAAAAAAAAAAGGTAAACTGGACGTTTCCAGACTAGTTGGGCTTCTGGGCCCCATCGGTGACCCTTAGTCAGCTCCTGAGACAGCGTTTCCATTTGTAGCGTGGAGGTGATACCAGGGCTTGATTCCCAGGTACTCGGCGGTCCACAATGTTAGGAAGTTTTCCTCCTCCTTACTAGTTCTAGTTTCTAGTTTCTTTCCAGAGTGGAGGGAAGGGGGTATTTCTTATTGTCTAGACTTGGAAGCCCCTGAGGGGGTCAGAGGACGCATGGAGCGTTTCCCCACACTCCAGCAATGTCAGCTGTTGGTGGGGAGTGTCCAGCTGGACTTCCTTTGGTTTGCTGCCTTTAAGAGATCTGTTTGCCTTCAGCGTTGTGAAATTACCCTGGTTGGTTCATGGAAGGCTTTAACTAGTGGTGTCTGCCAGGGAATCTTGCTTTCCTGTTCTTAGAAGTAATGCAGAGATAGCAATAATGCTTAGAAGTAGGTCTCTCTCTCCCTCTCTCCCTCTCTCCCTCTATGGTTTCTTTGTCCTGGAACTTGCTCTGTAGACCATATTGACCTCAAACTCAGAGATCAGCCTCCTGAGTCCCGGGGATTAAAGGCCTTTGTCGCCATCACCTGGCTTGTACTTCAGTTTCTGCCTTCAGATTGACGGTGGTGGCGAATGCCTTTAATCCCAGCACTCGGGAGGCAGAGGCAGGAGGATCTCTGTGGGTTTGAGACCAGCCTGGTCTACAGAGTGAGTTCCAGGACAGCCTCCAAAGCCACAGAGAAACACTGAGATCTACCTGTGTCTGCCTTCTGAGTGCTGGGATTAAAGGCAATACACCACCATGTCCCACATGCTTTTCTATTTTATTTCGTTTCAAGACAAGGGTCTAATTGTGTGGCCTTGGCTGTCCTGAAACTCAATATGTAGGCCAGGCTGGCCTTGAACTCAGATATCTGCTTGCCTTTGCTTCCCAAATGCTGGGATTAAGATTGTGTGCCACTATGTCTGACAGACGGACCTTCCTTTCTTCCTTCCTTCCTTCCGTGTTCATTGTTGTTTTGCCATAGGTGTTAGGTTCCTTGGAACTGGAGTTGCAGACAGGTGAACTGCCATGTGGGTGCTGGGAATTGAACCTGGGTCCTCCTGAAGAGCAGTCAGTACTCTTAACTATTGAACCATTTCTCCATTTTTTAAAATTTTATTTTATTTATTTGGTTTTTCGAGACAGGGTTTCTCTGTGGCTTTGGAGGCTGTCCTGGAACTAGCTCTTGTAGACCAGGCTGGCCTCGAACTCACAGAGATCTGCCTGCCTCTGCCTCCCAAGTGCTGGAATTAAAGGCGTGCGCCACCAACGCCCAGCCCATTCTTGATATTTATGTTAGATTTGTCAACTGTAGTCCCTAAGCATCTGCCTGTGTCATACTGGGAAAGAGCAACTGCAAGAACCCTGTAATGTGGTGGAAGGAGCCACACCCTGTTGGGTGAGGTCTGGGGTTCAGAACATCCCAGGAAGCTTTTGGCTGGTGGCCTACTCAGAGGGCCTTGCTGGAGCTTGCTTTGCTGGTCAGTGTTGCATGTACTTATGGAGTAAGTCAAACACTGGGTTTTTCCAGCGCACCTTTAGCTTCCTTCTGGGAAAGAAGACATGGAAGTCTTTTGGAGGACTACATGTGTAGTCCTAGCCTGGGCTTTGGATCTCACTCAGGAATTGAGTGAACACACACATGTCAGCTTTAGCTCATTCCTTATGGGCCCCACACCTTCTAAGAGCTCTGTGGCAGGGGCTGTTGACATGAGCTGTCAGCCTGCTCTGACTGGGGTGTGGTTTGGCACTGGGTGTGCCCTTGGCCAAGTCTGGGCTTCCATCACCACGTAGGGCAGCAAGAGTTCTTGGGGAATTGGGGGAGATGATATTGTCCAGCTCAACCTCTCCATTCACCCTGCTTTTCCTTCCCTTGTAACCTTGCTTTCACCCTCCTTCCTTGTCACTTACTGAGCCCTGCATTACCCTGAGTATATCTTGTGTTCATACCCAGAATCTCACAGTGACCTTAGTCCCTGAACCATGCCCTTGCCTTCCCTTAATGTGACTAGGTGAAAATTAGGAGGGATGTATGTTAAGATGTTGTATAGAAGCCGGGGCGTTGGTGGCGCACACCTTTAATCCCAGCACTTGGGAGGTAGAGGCAGGCGGATCTCTGAGTTGAGG